ATAATAATAATAATTATAATAATCACTCCTCACTGATGATTCTAGACACTTCACAATTAAATATACTAAAAATTCGACAGCTTTTCACTGCGACATTATATGCATACCGGCCGACCCAATTGATAACAATCCTTTCAAAAACACAAAATGCACCCACAATCTCTTAAAAGAACACTACACAAAAGACAATCACTGTGGCTACTGTCCACGCGTGTTGTTTGAAGAAGGATCAAATTAGCTGGTAAAATAAGAGTTTAACGAACTGTTTCTTCAGGCCAGTTTTAAATGAAGCCAACCTAGGTGCATCTCTTAAATGCAGTGGGACTTGACGGTGAATTAGTTTAGACAATTTGTTTTCAAATATAGGTCCTAAAGTTTTGGCCTTTGCTATAAACTATAAAGACCCCTTTGACATTTTCAAAAAAACGAGATGATCAGTCCAGTCAAATTGTGGCACCAAAGACTATGGGTTGTGAAAATGATTCCCGTGTCGTCGTCGACATTTTAACCCCTGGCTTTTGGATATCAACCAGGTCTTGACTTCCTCTACACATTTTGTTATTCTTTGAGATACTAAATGTATATTGGCTGACCCCCGAGGACATGTACAACTGAGTGTAGTCTGCATGCAGGTCGCTACCTTAGAAATACAAAGTTCTATAATACTATTATGCTACTGTGCCTAGTTTTGAGAAGTTTGACGTAAAAAATTCCTAGTTTCACAAAATGTCAAGCTTTTTCAAATGCACTTGTTTGAATACCTTGATCATTATTATCACTGCCTTTCTCACGCTGGATCAGGGTACAGGCCACTATCAAATACTTTCCAACTTTCCCTATCCTGGGCTAGCCTCTTGATGTTGAATTATTCCAAGTGGATAACTTGATAACGACTCCGAATAATCTTACAATTTGATAGATGAGATGGCATATGGAACATTTGGTTTCTGTCCCCATGGTTTTAGTAACTCAAAACGGTCAAAATGTCAGACACAATCATATTTGTAATTCTATAGTTAGCGAAGTGATAGGAAGCATCGTGACTTCTCCTAATGGACTAAATGGTGTCGTGTACAAGGTGTACACCATGATACATGTACTAACATAGAGCCCTGTGATACCCAGTAATTCAAGCTGTACATGGCTGAGATAAACATTTAATTTACGTTCACAAAAAACGAACTGGGAACACCCAGAAAAGTATTACTTCATAAATACGCACATACACATACACAAACATGTAGACATAGAGATGGAGACAGACAGACAGACAGACAGACAGACAGACAGACAGACAGACAGACAGACAAATAGATAGATAGACAGACAGACAGACAGACAGACAT